CTTAACCACAAGCTTGAGCTTAAGATCAAGAATTTTGAATATATACTACTCTCATGATCAAAAACACTTGGGGAAACAAGAAATTACCAATGTGATATCCCCCCCCCAAGAGAGCACTTTGGTCTTCCACAATTCTAATTTAATCTGAAATCTCTTCAGTACTGCATCCCAAACCGCCTTTGACAACCTAGAGTTAGAGATGGGCATGCCAAGATAGGTAATTGGGAACCTATCAACCTTACTTGCCAAGATACGTAATTGGGAACCTATCAACCTTACTCTGCAATTAACCCCAATGATAGATGTCTTTTTAAAATTAACCTTCAAGCCCAAATCACCTCACAGCAAAGAAGGAATTTGTTAGATATGAAATTTCCTAACCATTAGCACCACAGAATATTAAGGTGTCATTTGTGTATTGCAAATGGGAAATAAGAAGACCAAAAGTGGAAACCTTAAAACCACTGATTTTGCTCAACCTCTTTAGACAACATCAAACCGAGAGCTTCTGCAACCAATGTGAACAACAAAAAGCGACAATGGATCTCTCTGCCTGATGCCTTTGGTGACCCCGAAAAAACCTTTTGAAAAACCATTAACCAGAATTGAAAAATGAGCATAGGAAAGGCAATCCCAAATTCATCTTTTCCATTTAATATCAAAACCCATACGCCTCATCACTTCCATAAGAACTTGCTATTCTACCCTATCATATGTCTTTTCCATATCAAGCTTCATAAGAACCCCTGGCTCACCATCTAATACTCTTGAGTGAATGTACTCATGTGCCACTAATATGCTATCCATGATTATTCGATCCCGCTAAAAGGTGGCATGGCAATACTATCTTCAATCTCTCAGCCAAAAATTTCTCTACAATCTTATAAAGAGTCTCGAGTAGATTGATTGGCTTAACATTAGCAATTGTTGCTATAACATCTTTCTTGAGAATCAAGGCTAAGTATGTTGAGTTAATATTTTTATCCATAATTCCCCTCTCCATGAACTCAACTAACGTAGCATACAAATCTACTTTTTCTAGATCCCAAGCTTTTTGGAAAAAGGTGAGAGGAAGACCATCCGATCTCGAAGACTTACTTCTCGATAACGGCGAGATAGCATTCCTCAACTTCTCCAAAGAAACTTGATCTTTGAGACACAAAGAGGAGATTGAAAGAAAGACCTATGTGATCTTTTGTTGCGGAAATACAATTTTTTTTTTTTAATAATAATCACCCCTTGTAATTTTAGCAACAAGATCACTCACAGATGGTCTTTACAAACAATAGAAATTTCAAAAAATAAATCTCAACTACTTGATGCCATTCATACAACCTAATACTATGCTTGAGAATATAAAATAAAAGAACTTAACAAATAAAAGAAAAGATGCCGGAGATTACCTCAACCGGACTTTTTATACCCCACACCGATTCACCACATCCAATGGCATGGGATTTGTGGTCTAGCTTCAATCTCGAACCGGGATAGCTGATTTCGGCTAAACTAGATAATCACCCCTTAAAACTCTACTAAAACTTTAACCCCCAAAATTAACTTAGATCTAGAGAGGAGAGAGAGTTCCACCTAAAATTTGAAAAGAGTAAATTAGAGAAAGAAAGATGGAGGAGAGAGAGAGGGGCGTAGCCCTCTAGGAGAGAGAGAGGTTGTATTGAGATTGGGAGAGAGCACCCCTATTTATAGTGAATATTTAGGTTTAGGGTTTTTTAGGATTTTCCTATAGTTTGTCTCTTTCATGAGATTGAATCTAGACTGTTGATCAAGGTGACTTGTGGGGTGAGAGATCTGAGCCATCCATTCCATAGATGGGCCATCAACGTTATAGAAGGTGCTTGGACCATTATCCCCCTTTCCTTAAACCATTTTCCCATCAATATATTTAAATAAATATCATCCATTCTATAAAATTGCATGATCCATGTCACATATTCCATAAGGATATGTCAAATAATATCAAGTAGATAAATACTACCAAATATAAATAAGATAAGATCCATATCAATTCAAATTGATCATATCTCTTTAAAACAAACTTGCTACAAAATAGATAAAGCTATGGTCAATATATCCCTTCCAAGATTTGACCACATGTCACAAATCACATTAACCTTATCTTAAAAGCAAACAAGAGAATTCAAAGAGGGTGGGGCGTACCACCCTTTTGTGGCACATGTGGGCCCCCACCCACATGCCACAAGGTGGGCCTATGTGCATTATGGACCCCATGGAATTTTATAAAAAAAATGTTATTTTTAAAATTGAATAAAATAATTTAAAATATATATTTGAATTTTTATAACTTTGTAATAACAATAATTGTATTTTTATAAGTCCAAAAATTATAAATAAAATATTGAGATATTCATAAAAATTCAAATAATAAAACTAAAATCATTTCAATAATAAAATGAGCACAATTCAATTAATATGATGGGAAAATGATCCATATGGTTTTAAGAATGCAGTCTGTAATAACGGGGTACTCCACCTTCAATTGTGGATTACATACCACACTAGTTTTATCGAATTGACTTAGTATTTCCCATGACACACAGTCCAAGCAGGGGCTCATTAGTGGGTCACCAAAGTTAGGTTGATGAATCAAAGGGTCGCAATCCCAGTCTATGGATTACAGGTCCTCCCCTAGAGACGAGTCAAGGTCACCACGACCTGATGCGACCACAGCTCTATGGAGCATAAGGGTATCTCTCGCACATGCATACGCTTCACCCAAAGGTGGATATCTGGCTTTCCCGAACGATCTATTAGTATGCATGTTGTGTGATGGAACATAGATGAGGTTTTGGCCCCCGTCGCAGTAGCCCTACCATCACACACAAGGGTCACACAATCCCTCAGCTCACTCATCTAGGCATAAGCTCCGACCTCATCAAGGGCTAACTCAACCCTCATTGGTTAATTATTTATGCCTAGGTACCTTGGGCTTTCCAACCGTCTGGCCTAGATCGATATAAACAAACATCATTTGCCTAGTATAGTCCTCGAAGGACCACACTCCCATTGAATTTATGTTTCACTATAAAAGAACTTCAATACACACTCATAAGGCCTTTAAAGGCCACATAAACCCAACAAAGATAGTTTGTTGAAGGGATTGTATCCAAATAAACTTCAAAAGACTAGTCAAAAGTGAGTAATCCGTGAAAATGTTTAACAAACTCCTTGTCCTAACCATCAATATCATCCTCCCTAATATTTTGAAATTTGATAGCCAAAATGTCATTTTGCATGGGCCTGGTATTGGCAATTGAATGAAAGAAATCTGGTATTCAAGTATCCTTCTTTCAGCCATAGCCATTATACTCTCAATCGCTGCATCAAGTATATGTCTTCCATTTTTAACAATTCATGCAACGTATGATGAATTATCTCATTTTCCCCTCCAACTCAGCAATAATGACACTATTCAACTGAATTTGTTAATCAATCTGCTGTATATTTTGTAAAACTCCCTCCAATTTGTCTTTGACATAAAAATTACTACTCTTTTTTCACTCCAATAACTTGTTCTTGACCTTTAGAAGTTTCTTATGCACCCTATGCCAAGCCCATCCATGCACAATTGTATTTTCCCATGTTCTTTTTACCAACTCCCCCACCTCCTTATCTTTTAGCTACACCAAAATCTAATCTAAATGGTATGGGCCCACTATTCATATTTTTTATATTTAACAACAATGAATTAAAGATACTATTGTTACTCCAAGTGTACTAAGCATTGCTTATGGGAATATCCATTAGGCCAAACGTAGAATAAAGTCGTTGAATAATCTCATCTGGCTATTAAAAGAAGGGTGCAGGTGGCATATGGATGCATTCGTAAAGTGCACCTTCAAATTTTATCATGATGTATAATTTTGATGTAAAATGTTCTTAGGATTATCTCGAAATCTATTTTTATATCTAATTATAAAATTTTAAATTTTAAAAATGATTAAAATCAAGTAGATTTATAAACATATGAAAATCTTGAAAATAGACAGTGTCGATAATATGTTGTAAAATGCACTATTTCTGAGACTTTAAATTTTTATATTTTTCATGGTCGTACATCTCAATGTCGAGATGATCAATCAAAACGTTTTTCAACATTAAAACTACCCTTTCCAATGGATTTTTGAGGTGCATCCGTAGTTCTACATTATAAAGTTGCATCCGTATATAAACTTTTTCCATAAATTAGAGTAACATTGTTGATAAAAAAAAAAGGCTACATCCTCAGGTGTTGTGGTCCTAAAACACTTCTAGTGTGCTTTTACTAGGGAGACCTAATAGATAGCATGCTCCCATGGGAGCAGAAAATCACTTGGGCTACTTATCTAAAAAAAAAGAATATCTTTTGGGCTCGCAAATAATAAAACGGCAATGACCCAATACAACGGTTGTATCACAATATAATGCAACAACACTTTTAGAAAACCATGTTTGTGGTATTTGTATTACACCAAATTTTACACACACACTCTCTTCATCTCAATAATCAATCCCAAAAAAAAATAGTTCAATTTGAACCCTAAATATGGTCAAAATGAATCCCCTTCAAACTAGACCATTCATTTTGTGAATTTCAAAATCTTAACCTTTATAAATTCAAAATCATTTTTTTCCTTTTTAACATTGTTCATCTAATGATAATAAAACCATCCAAAAAAATTGGAAATGAAAAATTCCTTCTAAAGCCTATATCTAAGCGTCTCACTAAAATGAACGGCCTCTGTTAATTGGACTAAAAATATACTTTCTAAGTTGTGTTTTCATTTTTTTCTTTTTTTGTGATTGTCCATTAGAATGAAAAGAGTGCATATTTCAAATTTTGGATCAAACAAATAACCATAAAATAGATTTTTAAGATTGTTGCATCATGTTACTATACAATACAACGGTTGCATGTTGCATGAAATCATTGCCCATAATAATAATAATCAAGACAAAGGACGAGAGTGTCCATGGCAAAACGGTAATTTCAATTGGTATCCACATTGCCACCCCACCTGCTTTTTGCTGCCTATACAATGCACAGAGGACAATGGGCCAATGTACCAAGCAAAAATAGCTATTCTACTTGCTTTATAAATCAAAAAAAGATATTTCCTTGGAGAGACAATTTGATCAACCCATAGGTTTAAACTTCTCTTTCTGCACTTCTTCGTATGGTTTAGTACATGATTTTGGTAAAAAGGATTCAATTGTTAAGACCACCACCAAAACCATCAAGACATTCATTATGAAGAAAACCATCGATACGCCTGCGCAATCAAAAAAGGGATTAATTTGCAGAAAGTAACGAATCAGAAATGGGGTCATTTTAAGGAACCAAACTAGCTAGTTCAGCCTTATCAAAAGGCCAAATTGAAAGTAGTGTTGTCTTCTTTATATATGTATATATGTGTATGCATAGAATTGCCCTTTTTTTATAAAGAATTTGTTTTTATTTTTTATTTATTGTGGATGGACATAAAATTGTTCATAGTATAAACGTCTAACAGCAGTACCTGGAAAGTAGAAAGCATCTTGATGAGTTTGGCACCATGAAAATCTGCAAATATACAACCATCAAATAAGAATATCTAACACTCAAGTGTAAAATCTACAAACAAGATAAATGATAATTAAAAACCCATCAAATCAAAGCAGGATATGTCCGAGGTGGGCAGTCAGCTCGAATCGGGGCCATACAATGATTTGCAGTGCAAGCATAAATGTTGCCCAAGTTTACTATGTTTTCATAAATTTTGCGAATGTCACATAATTTTATTATTTTGTTCTATTGCATATAAAAAGTATATGCCATTATGTTATACACAGAATAAGCCACTTATTTTTCTGATAAATTACAGTAAATACCCACGTTACATTTAGTTTAGTTGTGCGATGGTGTTTGACTCCGGTATCTAGTTTGCTCACATGAAATCTAAGCCTATACTAGGGTAATAAATTGTAAGCCTATAATGCATAGAGGGATGCATTATTTCACTTTGAACTGAGAATGGAAGAGCGGGTTTTTGAAATCACAAAAGCTATATAGTTCTTTACCTAGAAAAACATAATTATCCTAACTTGATAGCATACATGGCATCAGACCCCCATTCAGGATATTTAGAGCAAGTGAATGTGGCATTTCATAGGCAAAAAACGGGAAAATGTGAGTGAAAAAAAGGCTCCATTTTTCAAGATAAATAAGATTTTCTTTTAATAAGTATGAGATATAAAATTCCTCTCCTAGAGTTAATTATCAGGGAAAAGAATAAGGAAAACTTCTAGATTTTGTGTATTTAGTAAGATAACAATGTTAAGAAATAAAGGTGGCTGCATTGGAAGATGTGATTTTATGTTAAATCATTACAGGCAAGAGAGGTCTTTTTTCAGTTGCTTTCCTGGCATTATGCTTCGTTTTAAAAAAAAGAACTATATTGAAGATATGATTAACCAATTGTTTCTCTGTTGCTTAGTCCTGTATTCTATGCTTCATTAATTGAAAATTATGCGAAATGATTTTGCTTTCAACACTAAGTCAGAAAACAGAATAATATCATGAGAAATGCACTTTCATGTATTTTGATACATGATAAAAAAAATAAAGGTATACATTATACTCACATAGCACCTGCCGCTGCTGGTCCTACTGCTTTGAATAGGGACATCGCAGTCATTGCAATTCCATTTGCCGCACCTCTTTGGTGTTGTGGCTGGAAACAAATATATGTAAGGGGAAATTGAGAATGCAGAGCCCACATAATATAATGAGAACTGAGTAGATTATTGAACTCTGAGAATGAACCGATATATAAAAAAGGAATACATTGGGGTTAAGCAAAGAATACCACTGAATTGTTTTGCATTATGAACAATGCAGTCATAATTGTAACCTGTGATAAATTTAAACATTAAGCAGAAGTAAGCGATTGGCACATGAAAGATAGAGTGGGAAATATAACAAAAAAGAAAATACTTCATCTATGGGCCTGCGAGACTGAATAACCAACAGAATAACTGATGCGTAGAAGGAAAGGGATACAAAAAAATAGAAATTATCTAAAAAGAGATGATGGGTGTGACAAAATAAATTGGCATCATTGTCTTCCATACAATAAATGCTCATTTTTGGTCAAAAACTACTAGAGGTGAAGTTGTTTAGTCTGTCATGCAGTAGCCATACTTGCTAACTTTGGGACGGTCTTTTGCCAAACTGTAGAAAATCATAATCTTGGGGTATCATATTTGCATTTTGTACATCCAAGAAATAATTTCTCAGCATATCTCCTTGTTAAATTCAAATACGTGAAGATTTTTTTTCTTGTTTCTTGGAAGCAAAACAAATTGATATGGAACACATTCTTACACAGAGCAACCAAACACTTACAGACACAGAATTCTTCAACAAAGAAGCACAATTAATTGTGAATTTCTGAGCGAAACCAGTAAGCTTCGCTATCAATGGGTAACATGCTATCAAAGGTATGGTTAAAACCTGCAAGCAGAGATCATATGCAAGATGTAAGTTTGGTTGGATAAGTCCCCTTTAATTTCTTTAGAATTATACACCCCTTGGTTGCACCTACAATGCAATCAGTCCCCAAATGTAAGCCTGATTTCCTATCAAAAATAAAAATAAAAAAAATCCAGAATTTGATTGAATGTATACCCCTCCAATTCGGGCCAATGGAATGGGCCCAAGGATCTTCTCTACCTTTGGAAATAGATAAAGTTGTGAAAATAACAGACCACAACCTAATGGAATAAGAAAAACAAACAGATTAAGATAACATTTCGAACAATATAAAAGGAAATAAATAGAGAAACTCTCAAGTCTGACAAATGTTTTTCTAGAACATGCATTATTCTACCATATTTGTGATAAAGACAAGCAACTTAATCACAGTTTTCTATAACAATATGCCAAACATGTAATGAAGTAAAAACCTCACAAATGTGTGCATTTCATACCGGAGATTGCAAGAACTTGGCCCACATCCTGAGAAGAAAACCCCATGCCACCAAGTCTTCTAGGGCTGACAGCCCAAAGAGAAAATATCTGTAAATGAGAAGTTGGTCAGTGAATCATAAAAGTTGTGATGCCAATTTCGTAATGTCACTGCATTAAGATGTTGAGATACAAAAACATTTTCTAAAATGAGCACATCAAAATTGCCTGTGAAATGTGCTACTTATGGAGAAAACATTTAGAAAAAGATGTGAGATACCAAAGGAATGACCAAACAAGTGAAATTACTCATGTATATGATATCATCAAGTAATTGGAGACACACAGGACATAGAACTTGCAGAAAGGTGCTAAGCTCAGCACGAATGGCATATTTTTCTGGTGTGTTGTTTTAGGGAACATCGCCTTATATTCAATATTTAATTCTAAATCTCATTTCTTATATTTCACATGAAATATAAAGAAAATATGCAATTTACACAGATACAAATGACATTTTTCTAGTATCGACTATCTAAGCCAATGGACCACACAGATAGATACAAAAATATAAACACAAAATAAAAACCGATTGCAGATTAAACCAAATATATTGCGGAATGACAATATACTGTCTCCTAGTTACAAAGAATCAGTCCATATACGAATTGTTCACAAGAAAACCTGCCTCTGTGTAGGACATCTCATGAAGTGAAAAAATGCAGTATATAATTATATTAGCCATCAAGGGCCAATTTTTCCAGATGGATGTTTGAAAATTTTGGGCTCTTTCTTCAACTTCTGCCCCATTTTCTTTCATAACAGAACCACCTGAAGCAGCTTCTAGAGCATCAGAGCAGTCAAATCCTTCCTCTGTCTCTGGGTGATTCATGTGTAGTGTTTCCTACAAAAACAATCCAAGAGTCACTAACCACTATATCATAGCTTATTTTTTAAAATTAATTATTGAAAATCGAAATCATTTTTGAATCATTGAATTTGTGGACCTACTGTTGTAAATAGTTCTGTTAAATAAAGGTACAAAAACCACTCCCACATATGTTGGTCATTTGTTACACATAATGGCATGCAAGGACTCAATCCATTATTCCAAATCAATGAAATATGCTCACTTTCTTCCATATTACCTACAAAGAACTAGAGCCCTTAAGAGTCATAATTTTTTCCCAGAAAATTTATCCAAAGAAGTTTGGATTGATGGAAATTTTCACATTTTCTTACCTGCTCTACTATTTCCCAATACATATGACATTCAAAAGTATTGAGTGTGAGGACATTTTCTAAGATTGCAGGTTTAATGTCTCACGAATGAACTATTAATGCAATAGTGACCAATTAAGCCAATAAAATGTATACATAACAAAAGGCGATACCAAAAGTAAGTGATGGTATTAACATAAATGGGATGGACTAAACTTACTGGAAGCCAAAAGGAAGCAATAAACACAATAGCCGCAAAGAGTGATATACAAAGGCATGGCAGGAAATACGGAAACCTGTAAAATGAGACATCTTTCAAAATGAAATACGATATTTTATACGCTGAAAAAAAAATTGAAACACAATTAATCAGCGAAGCTCAAAAAGACATAGTGACTACATACCTCCCAAATATTGAGCTTTTGGAGAAAATATTTGGATATTTATCTGCAGGCTGAGATACATACTTATTAGTCATGCATAGATAGATGCACAACAAGAAAAATTGAGATGAGCAATTTTTTTATAAGAAGAAACAGGTGGAAGAATATGTTGTTTATCCAATTTATAACACATACATTCTCAAACATGAAGATCATCATCATTGTACCATGAAGAAAAAGAAATAGAACTACATAATCCTAAAGCAAACATACAGCAACCACAAATTGATCATGGATTTCATAGATGTATGTTCGATCGAAATGTCACGAGATACTAAGGTAATTAAAATAAGAAATAAGCTTTTGAAGGCTCCAACAGTGGTCATCAACATTAGATGCAATTCTCACTTCAAATATATATGAAAATAAAAAAGATCCTTAAATCAATTTTGAAGATGCAATAGTTTCAGTGGCTATTGTCATAGAAGAGTAGATATAAAACATACCTGTGCGAAGTACCCTCCTAATGCAGGCCCAACAATTAGACCTATTCCCCATGCTGTACCAACCTGAAAAGAACATTTTGGATTGAAAACGTATTTTTTTGGACTGGTTTATTACATAAAATAATTGAAAATTTATCAATGGACCAAGCTGCATACAATGGACAATCCCAAAGCTTGATATTCTTCTCGAAGAACTTCAGTAGCATAGGCCTGGAAGTCATTCAAGAGAAGATAGAAAGATATCAAAATCCATTCTAAAAGCTAGTAAGTGCAAAAGTGTATTGTCTTAATTTATGACATCTAAAAGACATTTGCAGTTAATGAATGAAACACAGGAATGGACCTCAGGCTAGTTTTTAAATATTGATATTGTAAGTTTCAAAAGATCCGTTTAACTATGATTGCATTGCATGCTGCATCATTAATACTTTGTACCTTTAAAGGGCCAAGCATACCATTGAAAGATCCATGGAGAAACCTCATTGCAATTGCCATCCAGAAGTTCACACTAAGCCCAAAAAGAGTGTTGAATACTACTCTGGAATAAAGATTGATCCATACCAAAATGAATATTATTAATTCAAAAATTGTATCTCAATCATCAACCTCACAACTTTCAAGGATGGAAAAATAATAAATTTTACGGTTTATGGTTACTAACACTGATAAGGTCCCCAATATTATTATTGGCTTACGCCCATATCGATCAGCAGCCATTCCCCAAAGGAATGAAGTCAAAAATCTTCCGAACATAAATGATGAACCTAAATGGGAAAACCAGACCATCAGCAAAATATGACAACCATTAATACTTAAATACAGCTTCTACTTGTTACCAACACCAGATGTACGACATCAAAGGTCGTGAACTATATACTCATTCAATAAATGGCCCTAAACATGATTGTTGAATTGGGCATACCCACAAATCCAGCATAATATCCAATATCTTCCACCTTTTTTGCAATATTAAAATCTCTAATCTGCACAAATAAAAAAAAAAATCATGGCCCTCCGTCAAGAACTAGAGCAAAACTTTTAAGGGGCAACTCTCAACAGAACAACATAACATATAAACAGACTTTAACTTGAACATTTAGGTAATTGCTGCTGCAACACTCCACTAAAAAGACAAGCTGCAACTGGCTACATAATCTAACCTTGGCCAGCATCTCTAGGGAACTTTTTAGACCTCACCTAGATCATTTTAAGAAACTTTTATCAAATCACTAAGCAAATGATAGCCTTATGAGGCTATATTGAATATTTATAAAATTAAATCGACTATATTTTTTGAAATTCAGGACCAGTTTACCTTCAATTGAATTCCTTGAACTGCTGCACATAATGAACTTTCTTGCGAACTCCTCAAGTCATCGTACTTTTTATTTCTTAGTATTGCCTTGTGATGGTCATGAATATTTTAGCTGTTCTTTAGTTTCTCCTAGGATGTGCATGGAATTGAATTCCCTTTTGCTGTTTTGGAATGGGTTCTCTTATTGTGACCGACCTATGGCAAATGAGAATGCTTTGACAAGCATCATACATATTCTATATTATGTTCACTAAATCAATATGGTAGCTAGTTTATGTTTACTACATTGACATGATCATTCCTTCCACTTGACAACTTCACATCCCTAGCACTGGAAGTTTCTCTTAACTGTCTAGAGATTTAGTGAAGCAGTTCTTCTCTCTAATTGTCAACCCAGAATCAATGGTTTCTTTGGCAATCTGGGTGAACTTGCACACTACACTACACAACGCAATGTTAACAAGAATAGTTTATCATCAGGTCTCCTCTACCACTAGGGAAATCTATCAAATCATACCTAAAAGTTGAAGTAGTTAACATCTCACTCGGTTCTATTGACCTAATTTCATATAGCCCACCATTCTTTTCTCTAATTGTCAACCCAGAATCAATGGTTTCTTTGGCAATCTGGGTGAACTTGCACACTACACTACACAACGCAATGTTAACAAGAATAGTTTATCATCAGGTCTCCTCTACCACTAGGGAAATCTATCAAATCATACCTAAAAGTTGAAGTAGTTAACATCTCACTCGATTCTATTGACCTAATTTCATATAGCCCACCATTCTTTTGATCACATTTCAAAAAGCCCATCAAAAAACACATCATCATGAGTCATAAATTGTTGAAAATTGACGGATGGGTAAATCTCTCATTAATAAGTTTTCCTAATTTAATGCATATATGAAGATGATCGTGTGAGGTACAAGCTAAAAGGAGAAATTATGCTTCTTCAAAACCTTTGTAGATCTATCTCTCTCTCTCTCTC